TTAATTGGTCATCATCGCTGACATCATCAAAAAATTATCACGTGGCCCGAACTCTTGGGGGTCACCCTGGTGGATTCTATTTTGATTGGCTGGGTAGTCTTTTTCCACTTTCTTCTGTGTTATTGCCAATTCTTTGCAGTGAAGGCTGTACATTTTCTATATTGGCTTTCATTCTATTATTCCTGAGTGAACAGCCACTTCTATTTTCAATTTCATTCCATTTTCTATAGGGAAAATGCGCTCGCGCATTGCGCATTTCGTTTGGCGAAGTATCACAGTTTCGCCATTGTTTTTCTGGAATTTGCGAGCCTTCGGGTAAATTTGGCGAGTCTATGGCTTTTTCTTTGCCTTTTCTATGTTGGTAGGTGTTGTTGTTGTATTCTATGTTGTTTTGGTGTGGGGTGGCGGTGATTCTTGGAATTTCGCGCTTCTCGTGAGGAAACGCTGTTTCGCCGTTTCTTCGTTGTTCGCGACGGCGATTTCTGCTTTGCTGGGTTTTAGACCACCAGCGTCAGTCATTTCTCTCATCGCTGAGAGCGAGAGAGAGTTGTGATAAGGTTAGAATTCGAGTGAAGATTATATATAAAATTTCCTTCCCGACATTTTTTAATAGTGCTTCAAGATAGATTTAGATATCTGTTTCCCGTATTTTGCATTTTTTATTTTTTATTTTTTATTTTCCTGTTTCGGATTTGTTTTTGGTTGCGCAGATTTTTACGCATTCTTATTGGTCGTATTCGCCGTGGCTAGGGTACTACTTAATAACGAAGAAATCCATTTATTATTATTTCGTAAAAATAATTTTGCAAGTTTAGAGCGAAGTGAGTTTTTTCACAAGTATATTGTTGAGTTATTATGTCACTAGAAAGAGAATAGAAAGCGCATCGTGGCCACGTTTATATGTGATATTATGTGCTCTTTATATTATACATCGAGATAATTTTTATGTACATGTATCAATCACTAATGACGCTGTCTTATCTTGATAACAAGTACTTGGTTTATTTTTATTTAGACAAGGAGGTATTGATATTATCGGGAGTTTTTCGATTACTCCGATAATAATTTAAGCAAAAAATTGGAGCTCATTTCATTCACGAATTTGAAGGTGCACTTTCAAGATATTTTGTGGTTTCTAAAAACAAATTTTCTAAATTCGCGCATACACGTCTAAATTTAATATTTTATTAACTGATCGAAATAAATATTTATCTTTTAAACGAAATATAAAAATCAATGAGATGGACTTATCAAATGAAGTCTTTATCAGGTGATATTATCACAAGGAGATCCCACATAATAAAAATCTTAAATCGTATGAAAATTAAAAAAGAAAATCAATAATAAATCATTGGGTGGAACGCCGAACTTTTCGGTTGTTGACATTGCCGATACCTACTGTTGCGGCTCTTAATGGCCATGCGTTTTATGATGGCATTTGCTCATAGTACGATTGTCATTCATTCCTAAATATCAAGGGGCATAGAAAATTAGCAAGTTCCAAGATCAAATATTTTGTAATTCAATTTTTGTGTTATATTAAAAATCAAAATTGCGTGCTCATGCATTTTATGCGTACGATTAATTAATATATCTATATTAAATATTCTCGAATATTTATTTAATTATTATTACTGTAGTGATTCTTTGTGATGATGCTGGATGATGACGGATGATGACAAAAATTACATGAAATGCAAATAATAAAATAATAGAATATATAGTAAAACAAAATAAAAATAATGAATGGGTAAGGGGAAAAATTTGTACAGTTACAAAAAAGAGGTGCAAGAAAGTACGATAATAATAAAGGTACAATAAAATAATCTCTCGTTAATAAAAATTATCATGCAAAAAAAATAAAATAAATAAAAACTTTTGTACATGAAAAAATGATTAATAATAATTTTGGGCAAAAACATTAGTATATTCTCACTTTGTTTGTTATTAAACAAAAATATAATAAATCTGGGTCCCGCCCGATCCCAAAATTCGTAAATTAAACCGCCAATTACGATCACTGAAAGCGTATTTTCCGATTAAATAAATAAATAATAAATAAATAAAGTCCATCATAGTACCATTAAATTTTTGTTAAACAAAAACAATAAATAAATAAAATAAGGACAACAGTCATACAAAATTCGACTTCACTTTTTAACAAAGTATAAAAAAATCAATCAGTCATCACTCCATAATAAATCATTAAAACTAGGCGTAGTAACTGGCGAGGTAGTTCTCGTTGGGGAGAAAATACTGTCCAATTTTAAGCCACTATCGAAAAATCCGGGTTGTTCTTGAGCACCTAATATTACCACATTGTCATTGTTGTTATTATTATTGTCAATTATCAAAGATTGACGCGAAGCAAAAGGAAATAAAGAAAAATCGTAATCGGAAAATGAAATGGGTAAAGGAGGAGATGGAGGATTGTCATTTGATTTAAAAAAACTTAATGAGGTTTTTTTTATCGGAAAAGTTGGTGATAACGGAGAATTCAGGGATGCTGATGAGATACGTTCTGCGGGAGAAGAAGGAGATCTCGGTCGCAAACTATGAAGAGGCGGAGATAATAATGGAGAGTAACTTGCTCTTGTTGACAGAATTGATGGTGATTTTGATGAACGCCTAGAACGTGACGTACATGATGATGAGGATGATGTCAGCGGTGTGGTTGGAGTTTTTAGTCCTGTTGTTGTTGTTGAAGTTGTTGGTGATGGAATACTGCTTGTAGGTAGCAATGAATTTGTTGGAGCTGAAAGAGGTGAAATAGATAATGGTGATGATGGTTTTGGTGCTGTGATAACATGAAATCTTCCGGATCCACCTTTTATAGTGGTCTGATGTTGTAATTGTGGCGGTGTTTGATTATTAGTATTAGTATTATTATTATTATCGGTGAGTGGTCCGGGTGTTCTTGGTGGTGAATCAATCTCATAATAATTATAATTACTATTATTATTGTTCTTTGAATTGCTTCGACGATGATTACTTAATAGCAAGTCACTTTCAATACTGGAATTTCTTGAATGTGTTATCGCTCGTTCCGATTTATTCTTTGCATTAACAGTCGAATTACTCAATTTTAAAGTTTTCTCAAAATCCACTAATTGATAAACTAGACTCATGTTCGGGCTTATATATGAACTCCTATCCTTTACAAATTCGTACGCTTGATTAAGAGTCATCCGATTCATCTTCATCACATAAGCAATGATCAGTGATGCGGATCTTGAAACGCCACACTGACAATGTACAAGAATGTTTCTTCCGGCAGAACGAGCTTCATCAATGAACGCAAACGCTGGAATGAAATCTGCAATAAGGTTTTCTTGATTATGTGTCCAGAAAAATTTTTTATATTTTATGGGCTTGAATTCCTTTGTTCCTGGTACTGTTAGCAGAATTCCAGATGCTAGAGATCTTTGAGCTAATGTAAGAGACATTGAATTCGAGCGTGACGATGTCAACGAAACTCTTTTTATCGAATTACTCGGTGCAAGAGCAAATGGCGATCTGGGAAAAAGAGGAGAATCGATATGAATTGATGGGGATGAGGCTGCCGTCTGATAGCTATGATCAGAAGATAGAGATGAAGAAGTAGAGAGACCGGGTGAAATTTGATCGGAAAGATTGCTTTGATCTTCGTGATCATCATTCGCATTATTATTAGAGCCAAGGCCATTTATTTCATCCAAGTAAGGGACTTCGACCTCTTTACCAACATTGAGAATGAATTCGATATTTAATCTATTGAGCATTGGACGATTTGCAGCATTCAATTCAGTGCCAAGGTAAAGATGTGGCAATATACAAATAGGCCCCTCATTATATGGCGAATCTTCACCGATTTCATTTTCAGTTCTTGAAATTAATGCCATTGGATCAGCAGCACCTTGACCATTATTAGCATGCTCCGAGGGTTTATTCTGGTAAACACAAATCGGCGTTGAAGGGCGTCGATTATGCGAATGAGCTCCAGAAGTTGGGGGAATTTGAGGCGAATTTGGAGCTGAAATTGACGAACGAACTGGTGGAACTACTAGTTGTAGATTTTTCATGTTTCTGCGTCCTTTTGATGAAGATGTAACAACATTAGGTGCACTAACCGGCTTCTTGATCATTTCAACGGGAGTAGAAACAACTATGCTATCATTATTACTGTAACTATCCCGTTTATAATTTGATGCTGGTGTTGTCGCTGAATTTAATGTATCTGCAGCCGCCCATGATTGATGAGTAGAAGAAACATTGACACTTGGAGCTGCTGTAATTGACATTTTTTTGTGCAATGGAACTTCTGAGTTGGCTATTCCTCCTATTTGATTTGCTTCTACCGCAGAATGAACCAGATACAAATCGAACGGATAAGATCTCTTTAGTTTGCTGTTCATGTAATATAAGGTTGTTTTGATGAAGAGCACACCAGGTGCAAAGTATTTGTTTTTTTTTTAATTTTTTGTTTTCTGGTTTTCGATCAATGGAATATATTGTGCTTTATATTATGTATAGAGATGTCTTTTCTCTTTCTCTAGGAAAGTAAGACAATTGTTTGTTCGTTTTGCTTAATGGTGGCTCGTTTCTCGTGTATCTATAACTTTTTTGATGGCAAATGGACAATCCGGCTAATCCAATAGATTCGTGAAAGTAGTTTCTCTTTCTGTTTTCGAGGTTGGTGAGCGATGCAAGTAGATTGGCGACCGATTAGGTTATTTGGAGGAGGGAATTAGAAAAACGAAGAAAAGATTGATCAGACCAGCTGTATCAAATGTCTATTTTATTTTTTTTATTTTTTTTTAAAGCGGGACTAGTACTGTCTATAAACTTTTCGACATCCAAAATTTTTATGTTAATCTTACTATTACTATTACTATTATTATGACAATAATATTAATAATATTAATAACATTAACTGACCAGCACCCAACAGCAGAAAGTATACTTGAGAAAAAGAACCTGCTGTCTTGTCTGTGTGTGTGTGTGTGTCTGCCTTTTCGTTAAACTTAAATTTTTTCGAGATATCTATTAATAATAATATAATACTAATATTATATTATTATAAAAATAAATTAATAAAACTAGGTCAGCTTTATTATCTTTTTTTTTTAGACAAAAGGAAAAGGGGATATCGTTTTTTCTTTTAACGCGCAAGCCCGAAGAATGGGAAACGATAAGGGCAATAAAAGGTTAACAAAAAAAAAATATAACCTTATAGTAATATATACAGACACACACACACACAATAAAATAAGATATAATAAAATAGTATATGATGATAATAAAAAAAACCGGCTTACTCTCTTGATTGATGATACAAAACGGGGGAAGATGAGAAGGAGGAGGAAAGAGGGTGATGTAGGATTTGTTGGTGGTTTGCAGCGTAATAAGGGAGATTATTCAAAAGGTGGGTAATGATGATTTTTGGAATGAGAAAAATGAAAGACAAGAAATAAGGAATGAATGAATAATGAATATCGTGATGATGGGGGAGGGAGAAAAGTTAAAGTTTTGAAATAATGAAAATGTGAAAGATAAGTCTGTCCAATATTGGAAAGGAGCGTGTATCGGGTATGTGTAATTTGTGTGTGTGTGTGTGCTTCGAACATATAAAAAATTAATATAGAAATAATAATACGTTAAATTCGTGTCACTTTCACAACTTACTTTGAAACCAGATAAATAGAAAAGTAAATCCGCTTTCTAAAATTCTTATTCTTTATCGTTATCAAATAAAATACCAAATTTTCATATATATTTTTTTTGTTTTGTGCGCTGTGTGCAAATATCGTTATCATTTGGCTTCTTTAATGTGGGTTTATATAACGATAACTGTAAATGAGTTCCTGTCTGTTTATTTATAAAATGGTGCTATTATTACTCTTACTGTTACTGGAATTATTTTTAGTATACGTTACATATATGTTACATGATTTTGTTTGTGATCGAAGAGAGCGGAGTGCGTGTTTTTAGCCAGTTTTGGGTATGTTTGATTTTTCAATCATAGAAAATAAGATAGTTGCGTTACTCTATGAACCGCAATTTTACTAATTACTGAGTATAATATTGTGTGGCGCGAAGACAAAACTATTGATAGTACTCGAAATAAATGTCCTCATCTCCCATTGTATCATTGCATGTTTGGAGAAGACAATGGCGATTGCGAATAAAAAACAGTTGGCACCTGTTCATTTTTCCATAACCAATAATTTTCCTACAAAAAAATCGATATAACAAAGTTTTGCTCTTTCTTTGTCATGTAAATTTTTTTGCTGGCGAAATGCATCTTCAGCCGTAATACATACAGAGTCGATCGTGAAGGGCATCAGTTTGACTCCCGATTACGCGAAACCTTACTAAGTCAACGAGTCTTGGTCCATTAAGAAAAAATGTCCAACTTAAAGGATTGTATTAGGAATTATATATATTATTTCATAAAGTAAAAATTGTAGAGCAAATTGAAATAACGTTACTAGTAATTAATAGTTCTTGTGATTTTTTGACATGTCAAAGCCTGCGTGAACATGAAAGAAAAATGTAACATGTGGCCCTATTCCAGAAATAAATTTTTTGTGTAATTGCTCTTTAAAAAAACTAACAGCCATTACTTTCCGTGGTGACTGTAGAAATAACATTTATCTTCAAGTTCACGCCAACCTTTTTCAGGAGGTCAAAAATTTTTCTGCCGTGCGAACTGTAAATAATGTTCGAGCTTTTGAGTCACATTCAAATTGAAATATTTTGTTGGTTCTTCTTATATGTTATTGGAATTGATAGCATCAGAATTTATATATCAGTTATTGAAAATGTACGTTTCAATAAAAACCTTGTTCAAGTGAATATTTTGCGATTTATTTTTAATATCATTTAAATTATTATTGTTCTTATTTGACATTTTTTTAATATAGAAAAACGATTATAAATAATTAAAAATCTATATTAAGCAAACGTATACAGTCAAACTCCTATAATTACCATTCTTGGAAAAGGGATAAATATAGAGGATCTTATATCGTATATATGTAACAGATTCATTTATCGACTTAATTTAACACAAATTTTATATGTACATTTAAAAAATGAGTCAATACAAGCTATAATAAAAATTTAATATAAAAAAGCTTGAAACTCATAAATCAACTCATGCAGAGCTTTAGTTATAAAAGTGATAATGGATGAATTTTGCAGATTCTTGATGTGATGGTTGATTTAATAGGTAATTTGTAAGGAATAACGTGATAGGAAAACCTACTTGATTAGTATATTGCATATGATGCATAACGATCATATCTATAAATTCATTTAATCCGTGAATATCGATATGATCAAGAAAGGCCTATTCTATATAGTATTTAGTGAAGCCGTTTATAAAATACAATCTATTGGTGAGTTTAGATGTTTTGCACCATATTAGTTTACTTGTATCTTGTAAACTTGGCTATTCAAATACGTTTTAGATATAGCATAAATGAAACAATAATAATGCGAATTCTTATCTTCTAAAGGGCACTGACATTTATTGACTAAGATTTTTGTGAGAGGATGGGAAATAGCGAAGAATGGCAGCACCCATTTCTCGATTGCTTTATTTTATACGTCAATTTAATTTGATTGAATTAATAAATGTGGGAGAGCATGATGAAAAACGGATTATGGTGAAAAGTTTGGCCAAAATTGTGCAGATCATGAAATCATTTGGCCAGAATTATCAATAATTTCTTATAATAAAAGAAATGCATAAAATATATAACTTAAATAAATTTTGCAATAATATTTATATTGCTATATACTATGTAAATTTATGAGTGTAATTGTTATTCATAGTATTGTCATTCATAATAGATATTGCAAATTTTCACCATAATCCGTTTTTCATCATGATCCCCCACAATAAATAATTTATTGAGATTATCAAATTCAAAAATTTAACTTATACGAGTTCTCTATATATAAAAGTATATATGTATATATATTCTACAGAGATCCTATCGCATCGTCGGCTTTTAAAAACAACGATGATGATGGTTAATAGATGAATTTAAAAAGAATTATCCAACAAAGAGGGGTGATTATGTTTACCATATTAACAGCGGCTCGACTACTCGCGACATCTTCTCTCCTCCATAACGAAGTGATGGTTTTCGTTTGAGTATAAAATTGTAATCCAGATTTACCATCTTTTAAAAAAGAGTACCGAAAAAACCTCGTTTAATTATCATCAAAAAATCCATAAACATTAAGAAAGTTGTCCAAGTACTCACAAAAGTACACGTCTCCTTGTATCGATCCACGGCTTCCAGTAAATGAAAACATGGGGAGTGGAACGGGGATAGGTGTGTTAACTGCTCGTGTGTTAAATTATATACATTAAAATTTTCGTATGATATAATATAATGGAGTTTATATTTAAGGTCAATTTGTTATTTATACCTCCAACTTGCCCAACGTCAATATTCTGGTTAAAGTATCGTGCGTTACTTCCACTATTTGTGAAAATTGCAGTCCCATTTCCATATGGATTTTTATTAATCAATTCAATTGCCTCGTCAAGAGTGTCAACTGATAGACATACAAGTACAGGACCAAATATTTCTTGCTAAAAAAATTACAAATGATTTAATTTGATTCCATTTATCAAGAAACTGCATCTATTTTATATGCTTGACGCATACCTTATAACATTCCATGTGTGTCTTAACATTAGCTAATATTGTAGGACCTGTGTCAAAATAAATAATCAAAAAGATATTAATATAGCGTCAAAATTGATATTCGTTCAATAGTTAATCGATTAAAAAAGAACCAGAATCAAATCTAACCGACAAAATTTCCATTTTTATACTTTTCAGGCACGGTAGGGTTACGACCGTCCAAAACAAGTTCAGCTCCTTGATCAACACCACTTTGTATTAATCCCTCGACACGTTCTTTCGCTTGTGGACTAATCAACGGACCTAGATCAGCGTCGGGTTCAAATCCACCAGTGACTTTAAGTTTTTTCGCGCGTTCTGCCAATTCTGGTAGCCATTCTTGTGCTTCGCCGACGAATACTGTGGTAGACAAAGCCTAAACAAAATGATCGAAATTTAATATTCGTTGATTGTTCAAAGAGAATATCACTAGTAAATTATCTCACCATGCAACGTTGTCCAGCGGCTCCGAATGCAGCTCCAGTAAGTTGATTTAATGCGTGATTCTTTTGAGACATAGATTTTATTGAGATATTGAGATTATGATTAAATCATTTGCAAGATGTAAAACCAACCTTATTGGCATCAGGTAGAATCACACCATGATTCTTGGCACCAAGATTTGCCTACGTAGTGAATAAATAACAATTTAATATAATATTTTACAATCATAATAAAAAAAGAAAAAGCAAATACTAACCTGTACTCTTTTACCATTGGCAGAACCCCGTGCGTGGATATATTTACCAGCTAAATACCGAAATTAAATTTACTTAGTAATTAGAATAAAGATAAAAACTGATTTACTTACCAGCATCACTACCAACAAACGAAATTGCTTTTATATGCTCATTATCACATATGAAATTAACGGTATCAACAGATCCATGAACAACATTAAGTACACCTTTCGGTACACCAGCTTCTGCAGCCAACTCAGCAAGCAACATCATAGCACCCGGATCACGCTCTGACGGCTTAATAATCATTGTATTGCCAGCTGCAATCGATAAGGGAAACATCCATAACGGAATCATAGCCGGGAAATTGAATGGACAAATACCAGCAGTGACGCCAAGAGGTTGACGAACAGTAAACGTGTCCATATCTGTTGCTACCTCCAACTGTTCACCCATGAATGAAGAGGGAATATTACAAGCATTTTCAACTACTTGTAAACCTCGGAAGACATCTCCTTTCGCGTCGGGAAATGTCTTTCCTTGTTCTTCAGTGATTGATCGAGCTAATTTATCCGTGTTTTGACGGATCAAAAGTTGAAGATCTAACATGATTCGTTGTCTTGCTAGAACTGATGTTTTACGCCAAGTTTTGAATGCTTCTGCTGCCGTTTCTGCTGCTGCTTTTAATTCTTCTGCGGTAGCTTCAGGTACTTTTGTTATCAGTTCATTTGTCGCCTATACCATCAATATGATTAATTAATATGGTCGGTCATTAAAATCAAACCGAAACTAGCTTCTCATAAAAATATCCACCGGATTATATAATGGAATCCAGCGATCAGTGCTTGATTCGATGAATTCTCCATTAATATACAACTTCGTGTTTGGTATATCATGGTTAGCGTTAACTGCTACCTGTGCAAATCTCGAAGCAGAAAAATCACGCGAAAAACTCTTAAATTTAGGAAAAGAAGCCGAAAAACCACGTTTTTTTGTGATTTTCAAAACTTGTGAAAGCATTTCCAACCGTTTTCTATGATGATAAAGAAAATCTTTGACTCCCAAAATTTGTTAGCTTTATTTCTCGGCACAATGGAACAATTTGGGATTCTAAATTATACATTCCTATTGGCTAATGATATTATACAACAGAATTCCAATTATATTATACATGTTCGGTATAATGCGTGCGTGAGAAAATAGATCGACTGCGCGTGGCAAAAATCTTGCTTATGTAATGATTCTTATTTACGTTTGATCAAGACAATCTTCATTTCTCTTAAATGGCTTTTTCCGGAGCTGTCATTTTAACCGATCTAAACGATTACATTGCACCCTCACAAGCTTGCATTAAGCCAGTCGAAATTAAAAAGAATCAGGGTGATGGTGCACCCGTAAGTTTAAACAAAGTTTCCGTTATGAAATTGAAATTTTAAACTTAACTTGATTTTCTATTTATAGGTTTCTATTAAAATCGACGATTTTGGTGGACACTTTGAAGTCTCTCAAGATGGAAGCGAAACAAAGTTAGAAACCGCTAGTATAACTTTGAACGATTGTCTGGCATGCAGGTTATTGTCAATTCGGTGTGTCGATTTGAATTATTGTATGTATATTCTGTACTAATTTCTATGGTTATAATCTAAAAAAGTGGATGTATCACATCCGCCGAGAGTATTCTCGTTAGCATGCAATCACACGAAGAACTTTATAAAGTGTTTGAAAGTAATCGAGTCGCAATTGAACAAGGAAAAACTCAAGATGTCAAAACAGTAGTGGTTTCAATAGCACCACAATCACGTGCTTCTATTGCTGCCAAATATAGATTGACTCCCTTACAGGTATTATTAATTTATAGCTTTATATTATTATTTTCAAGAGTAAATTCCGACACAATTAATTAAACTTGAAACTGAATTTGCAAGGTAGCTCAACGCATCACCCATTTCTTAAAGTCACTCGGCGTTGATTATGTTTTCGACACATCTTTTTCACGGGATTTCTCGTTGATTGAAAGTGCACGAGAATTTGTCGAAAGATATCGCGTATTACAAGAGAAGCAATCAGCTAGTCGGATAGTTAATAATGATGGTGGTGATGTTGAAGGATTGAAACCTAAGCGAATTAGACGAGCTGGAAATAATTCAAGAGAAAACAGTTTTATGGTTGAAGCGCGCCTTCCAATGTTAGCATCATCATGTCCTGGTTGGATTTGTTACGCTGAAAAGACTCATGGATTCACATTACCTTATATAAGTGAAACAAAGTCACCGCAACAGATAATGGGTGTCCTCGTCAAAGATTACTTGGCCAACAAAATCGGAGTCAAGTGGGTATATTATCCCTTTTTTATATTCCATTATTGCATTATATATATATATTCTTGCGATAATAATAATGTTTATCAATGAAAATTTCACAGACCTAATCAAATATATCATGTAAGCGTAATGATGTGCTACGACAAAAAACTCGAAGCTTCGCGAGAGGATTTCATCAATAACGAATACCATACACATGATGTCGATTGTGTTATCACATCCGGAGAACTGGATAAGATGTTTGAGGAACAAAACTTCAAAATTGCTGAATGTACTACAGCCATGACATCCTCTTTTGATTCCTTTACAAAAATGAATTCCGAAGGGAATTTACTTGGGACATCTGGCACAGGATCTGGCGGTTTCTTGGAATATATCCTTTCTTATGCGGCTAAAGAATTATTTGGGGTTAGTGGCGTTGATGTTGATCAAGAAGAAGGCGTGGTGGTCAAAATTGGGAAAAATAAAGACTTTAAGGAAATCTCATTAGAGGTAATTTAGAAAGCTACATTTATATATATAGTTATATATTTTAACTTATTATATATTTAATTAGATTGACGGAAAATCGGTGCTGAAATTCGCATCCGCTTATGGATTCCGTAATATACAAAATCTCATTCGCAAAATAAAAACTAGTAGTTCACCTTATCATTATGTGGAAGTGATGGCTTGTCCGTCAGGATGTATAAATGGAGGTGGACAACTAAAGCCAACAGAGTCATCGATATCAGTCAAAGATTGGATCAATCAAGTCGATAAGCTTTATCGATCTGTGGATAATGAGTCACCAGAAAACAATGAATCGGTGCAACGACTTTACATGTATGTTTTTACTATGAAAGTATAATTTCTTGGGATTGTTAAATATAATAATGTATGTTTCTTCTTCTAATAGTGATTGGCTCGAAGGCAAGGATTCATTAAAATGTAGAAAGATCATGAGAACTCAGTATCACGCAGTGGAGCAAACTTTAATTAATCCGTTAACCGTAAAATGGTGAAAACGAGCAGAGTAATATTAACTAAGCACAGCTCAACCAATTTTTTAATCTATATACTTATTTATTTATTTTTTTATTATTAATTGGACTAACAGATACAATAGATTAGATTTTATTTTTTTAGTTGTCTTCCAACAAAGTGTCTTCATTCACAAGTTCTTTAACTTTTGTCTTTGTTATTGATCTTATACTACCAATAGAATATAAAAATGTACCAAGAAATACCAAACTTCCACCAAACATCATGCCAATTGTGAATTCATTGTCGAAGTACCAAACAGAAATCATGAGTGATGTAAATTTGCGAAGGTTCAGTACTAAATTCAATGTGAGCGCTGTTGATACAGAGTTCAGACGATGAACGCCGGATACGCACACATATCTTTTTGGAAAATGACAAATTATTACACATAATAAAATTTGATCATAATAAAATAAAAGAAAACTTACTGAGTTAACACGTTAAGAATCAGATATAACCACAATCTCGGGACTTTATAATCTCCGATAACTGTTCGTATAATCTCAGGAACTAACATCGTTCCACCTGGTATAGAATCGAATGCAATCGATAAAGAAATTTTTTCCGTGTCATTGAATAAATATACTTGATGTTTGATATCTGAATAGAAAACCAAAAACATCGGAAGCGCCAGAACATGCTGCGTTAAAAAAAAAAGAAATCATTAAATATATTATTCATTCTAACGCAATTATCAAGACTTTGATTCACATACTGTATAAAATAAACCTTCCCGCCAATCACTACCATGCTTTGAATATGTGACTTCTTGATATAGTCCCATAATACATGATAATATTAGTGCGATCGAAAGCAAAGTTATCCCAATAGCATAGTCACTAGCGTTAACTAAATCTTGTTCCTAAAAAATCAAATTATTTTATTTAAAAAAATGGAATCAATGATATAATTTCAAGTGATTTCACTTACCTTTTCACTATCACTATCACTATTATTGTCACTATCCCTATCACTATCACTGCTACGATTCGCAGAACTAAAGGTGGACAGAATCACTCCGGCAGTAACCATAACAACTGCTATGACTTGTTTGGTTGTATATCTAAAAATAAATTCATTATTATAATTCTCATATATTTATAATTTGTTGATTGATTAGTTTAGTTTACCTTTTACCGATTACAGCCCATCCAAGCAACATACTAACAATCAAACTACCACTCCGAAAAATGATATGTAACGGTACAGAAATTCTAAATCCCAATGCGATATTATTCAAAACTGATACTGTGAAAAACATCGCTACCAGTAATGACCAATTAAAGAATGGTACAATACGTGGCTTCAGTGTTGGAATCCATGAGTCGGGTGTGAATTTTAGATGATGACGAAGACCTTCTAGCGCTACGAAAGTGAATTGTGCTAATGTGATCAAGTTTCCTGGTGGATTGTTAATCAATAGTTAATTAATTGATGAAATTAACGTTTTTTTATTCTTATTGAATGCAAACATTTACCACTTTTAGGCGCATCACTGTATAATTGGATCGAAATAATACAAAACAAATAATTATTAAAAAAATTAAGTCTAAAGCATGTATTTTATTTATTTTTGTTTTCGAGAAGACTAATAAAATTAAAAGCACACCATGCAAGAATTTATTAGGCCCCCCTCTCTCAATTTCACAAAATATACAATATCAAAGACCCAAAAGGCAACTTTTAAACTAACCAACCAATCAAATAGCAAAAAAGGATTTCTGCCCTCGAGGTCTTTGGACATTATATCACTTCTTTATGTGAGTTGTGTGTACTGACTGTTTATTACTGACCCGACCAATAACTCCAACGCGATCACATTGCTACAACAGCCGCCAAATACTAAACTTCCAATAAGTAGAAAATCCGGAGACGCCTGAGATATGAAATTGAGCATTATTTTTCTCTAAACGATAATACACTCGATAATTTATGATAAGAAGTCATGTGTAATGCAATTATCGATTTATCAATATTTTCGAAAATAGACTATTGCAGTCATAACGAACTTCGATATAACGAAGCATATCCTTCTTCAATTCAAATACATATAATAATAAATTCTTTATTTTTTTTAATTCCCTTAATTTTCCGAGTTCGTGGAAAGTATATTTTTCCCGATATTCATGAGATGATTTTTCGTTACGAAATTTAAAATTATTTCGTTTTTGGAGGATTAATTTTGTGGTGGGCCTTTTTTTATCATTTGGATATACCGATACATAAAAATAAATGATTCGCGTGCATATGATAATCTGTGAAACCCAGTTTCCGTAAATTTTTATAATGCAGACTCTGATTTCACACTCAGAGCGAGATTATATCCTTCGTGGCGTGGAATCTAATCTTCGCGCTGATGGCCGAGGACGTCTCGATTATCGACAAGTAACTTTTGAAACTGGAGTAATTTCACAATGTAGCGGAAGTGCTAGGTGTCGACTTGGTGAGGGAACTGACGTTTTAGTTGGGGTAAAAGTCGAAATCGGACAAATAGAGTTTGATGGTGCCGAAGAGGTTGTTGGTAGTAAAAAAGCAAAATGGGGAAGGGTTGTGTGTAATGTCGAATGGTAATGAACTTTTCTTTTTTAAAGCTCATCATTGATGGTTTTTATATCAGATTCGGTTTGATTTTTTTGTTTCGTGGTGTTTTCATTTAGTTCTCCAATTGCGTCGCGACAATTCGCAGGAAGGGGTGCAGAAGATTATAATAACGAACTGACGCAAATAATGGAGCTTATTTTCAATGGGCCTCAAGCTGGAATTGATCTTGAGAAATTGTGTATAGTGCCTGGTGATAAGTGTTGGGTTGTTTATGTTGATGCACTGGTGAGTGTTTTCTCTCGATTAAAAAGTAAATTCGACATTTGACGTGACATCATTATACTATTACTGTTGCTCATTATCATTATCATTATCATGCTGAATAGGTTCTTGACTATGCTGGAAATATTCTGGACACTATTTTCTTGACAACGCGTGCCGCTCTATATAATACCCGAGTTCCAAAAACAGTAGTTCAGGAAGTGGAAGGAATGATGGAAATTGAAGTGCTGGATGATGTGCAAGAAGCTGAAAGAATAGTGGGTTGGGAGCAAATTCCAATTGCTGTAACTCTAAATAAGGTGAGAAAAAAGTTTCGGTGCTACTTCTAATAATAATTCTATCATACTACAATTCTGTCAATATCAAATAATTTCCCTCGTCATAAATGAAGATAGGATCTCGCCATGTAATTGACGCTACACCGCTAGAAGAACTTGCAACAGAAGCAAAACTTTTAGTGAGCGTGAATAAGAGAGGTAAAATCTGTGGGATACAGAAGAGTGGCGAGGGTAGCATCGAACCGAGTTTATTGAATGAAATGATTCAGGTAAATTTACATTTAATAATAACAATGATTTTTATAATCATTTATTTAGTGAATTAATTATATTCTTTATTTATAGACTGGCCGGATGATTGGACAGAAAATCCTTGAGGCTCTTGATGTGCGACTCCAGCAAGAGGAGGAGGTATTAGCGAATTCGAGTAGAGGAGGAGCAGAAGTCGGACAGATTAATATTCAGAAACTTGGGTTCTTTGCTGCAACATGATGAGTAGTTCAATGATAACCTCAACTTTTATAGGATAAGAGTGATATTATTGATTTCAAAAGAAAAGAATTTTACATACACAAGAATGCATTATGATATAATGAAATTGTCTCAAAATATGGCATATTTTTCAATAACATTGAAAGAATTGTAATTCATTTTTTTGTCTGTATTTTGCTTCAAGCTAATTAATTATATAGTACTCATTTCTAAATGTTTATCTTCTTGCTTAGATTAATTTTGTACTTTTATTTATTAATATCTTGATTCTATCTTCTGCCAAGGTTAGGAAATTTTTCCAATATAAAGTTTCAACTAAAATTTTGAATCCATAAAATATAAATATAATTACAATTTATTCAGACAAATAAATGTCTGGATATTATTATTCCATTATAACTACAGAAATTGATATTAAAATTATAATTAAAGTGTTTGAAGGATAGATAATCGTTACTTGAGTATGCAAATTATAATGAAATAACAATCCAATTCGAAGAAAAGATAGCTTTTTTCGCGTTCCATCTCAAAACTCATCTAACAATATCTTGTACTATGATAGATCATATGATGACATGTAATATAATCGAACAGTACAAGTTGTTGATTCAAGTTTTCTTAAAATATGTCAAAAAAAGGCCAAGGAAAGAAAATTCAACAACAGAGAGAGCATGTTGAAAACCGTGAACTTTATCAACGGATGAATTTCTTGTATCAAGCGGCTGCACTTATGACTACTACCACTTTTGTTCAGGAATCTACTGATCATAACACCAAGGATGAAAAATCAACAGCAAAACGGAATAAATCTTATCAGAATATAGGATCGCTTGGCAGGTTTTATCTAAATACAATGAGAAATATCGGCAAGAAACAAGTATTGAGAATGTACGTGCATTGATTGATTCCTGACTCTTATGTTATTTTAATTGACCTTTATTCCTTTATTTAGAGAGCCATCTGTTAAAAGAAACATTTGCAAGAGATGTGATTCTCTACTTGTGCCTGGCTTCACGTCACGTGCTCGAGTTAAATGTAATGAAATTATTTTGCATTCGCTTTTGTGAATTACTTTGCTCTGAATTCTTTAATTTTTATGGAACTCAGCTCGTCGACAAAAACAACTCGAAATTGAATGTAGCGAGTGCAAGGCAATTAAAATATTTCCAGCAAGAAAGGATTACCAATTGTTCTCGGAGAAACCAGAGAATATTGTTGGTGCTTCCACTAATGAATCCTCGGGTGAATCACAAAGAATGACATAATACCATAAATCAAAAAATATAAATTAATTGAAAAAATTTATAATTTGTTCTGATAATACTTCTAGAAAAAATCGTTATATATTGGATTTCTTTTGGCTGTAAAAGCTTTAGCAGAATCATGAGCAAGTCTCAGCCGAACGATTTTCAATTTATCATCTATCTCATCGTAACCATTGTCACGCGTGTGCCACTTCATTATACATCGCATGGACTTTTCAAATTCTTGATTGTTTTTATGAAACGATGTTATTTCTTCCAAGATGCATAAAATTTCAAATATCTCTTCGCGAGTGAATACCGACTTTGCGTCGGATTTTTCGCTTCCTGTTTTAATAACCAAAGATTAATGTTGTCCCGAATCCTGAACGCATTTTTAATTTATGGGAAATTGACTGACAGACCTTGCCGTAGTAAGGGAAGTGTATTAACAAGTAAAACTGGCCAGAAGGATTTTGGCGATTCTTGGGATTTTATAAGATTCATTAATAAACTTTTAGCCGTTTCGAAATTTCGTTCCTAAAATATGTTAATCTTTAGATGGTGATCATCACGATAATGTAAGAAAAAATTAAGATTAAGTATGCTTACCTGCAACAAATGATGAAATTCACAATACTGCGATAAGAAATTCAGCGATGTGTCTGCAATTTCTTGTAATGGAAGGCTTTCAATTATTTCTTCATATTTTAATTCTCCTAAAAATCAAGAATTATAGGATAATTAATTGAATCGATTCTAATTGCAATACAAAAAAATATACTAGATAGAAAATAGAAATACCTGTGTCGATAACATCATTCAAGAACTGATGCGTTATCAATTTTATTTGTAATTTATCATTAGCCTTAGCAAAATAAGATAACGATGATGTATAACGTTTTTCACGAAGAAATTTGTGCGCGACAATCTGCGAGAATACGGGAAATGAAATGAAACCTTTCCATGTACAAACAAAATATATTTGATTATGAATTTTATTTAATCTCTACTGACCTTGCATATTGTTTTTGACTCTTCACGCAAATCGTATTTCTTACAGATATTCAAGACCTTATGAATCTTCGTCTCGGTATCCATCGGTATCTTGACAATTAGCTAATATTTGACAAACAAAATAAATTAAAGAAAGGAAGATAAAAAAAATATTTCTCTCCTCAAACATACTTGTTGAATGTAATCGATTCCATATTTTGGACAATATTTAAAATAATCAAAAGCAATAGACCAAAGCGTAGAATGACCAGCCAACAGCTCGCCATAATCAAGTAGACAGGATTCTCGAAACGCCAAAAGCCAGCTAGGACAATAATAATAATAAGATGAATACCAACTATGCTCAAAAGATTAGCAAAAATGAATTAGAATAATTACTCTATGAAAGGTGCTCCTGAACTGGTTTTCGATTGAGGAATTGTATCAATCTTTGCGAATTTGGAAAGAATGTCTGACAAGTGTGCTGCCAGCCACAAATCAACATTTTGGCATTGTATCAGTCCCTAAATGAACGAATGGTAAATATGGTCTATTCTTCAGACTCAATAAGCTCTTTAATAGTCTAAGAATGAATATACCTGATCAATCTCTTGACAAAGAAACTTAATTACAGCTTTTTCAGAATCTCTCTCGTCTTCAACAGGTTTTGCTCGGAAACAAATATCTAACACAACACTTAAATTGTAATTCTATAATGAGCAACCGAAAAATCCAAATTTGATACTTTTTGTATGGCAAAATTCTTACCGCAGCTCAGTATGATCAGTTGTTGTTGGATAATGATGTAGTAATAAACAACCCAAAGAATCCGCCCATGTAGTGCAATTATTTAAGATGATCGCATCATCCCCTCGTAATATATCCAATATTGCATTAAGGATAAATTGTAATTCCTTGTCCGGCAATTTTAACTGATCCTGTAATTTACTTGAGTACAGATTTTTTATTTATTAGGAATTTGATAAATTCATTTGAATTTTGACCAGATCATAAGTACATAAATAATACCTGCATTCCGCGCGCCAGTCAACCCACTTGATGATATAATCAACTTCTTCGATATCTTTACCTTGTGGTTTACTACTTATAGCTTGCAGCACAGACTCAATAGCACGATCGGACAGATTGGTTTCATCTCCTATAAGACAACGAGATAGTAATTCCTTTGCTCGGATATCCCCACGAAGAACCAATCTATACGAAACTACAAAGTTAATAGAGTCCAAATATTTTTTATTTGATATTCACATACTTTATGAGGTGATCTCGAAAAAGTGGCTCATTTTGTGGCTTTAAAACAGTTTCCAGATGATGTTCTTCTTCAAGTGTTAATTCTAACAAAGTTAAATAATTAATTAAAGTGAAAAAATATTTGATCAAAATATGAAGATGAAAGTAATAATATAAGTATTTACCATTAGGAGGTATAAATTTATTTACCCAGTAAACTAAGTCTGAAGCGAGATCTGTGCTTTTACGTCTTGGCGAAAATAATAGAATTCGACATAATTCCCAAATTGAGAAAAACTCCATCATTTGATGGAAATCCGAGTTATATGCATCATCTTCTAATTGCTATGATTATCAAACCCCCATTTTAATAGAATGATTTAATTAATAACATCAAGAAGCCACTTTTAAAAACCTTTTTAAGGTCTTTTGCATGATTTTCCAGTATGCTAGAATATTCTCGCGCTACTTGACATAAAGTTGATCGAAGAGAACTATTTTGAAACCTAATCACTCAAGAAAAAAATACTAATGTTGTTAAACTTTCGGCATATTTTGAAAAAATGAATAAAAATGAAATCTTCAATAAATACGCGTCAACATTAGTTGCTAATTCATTATTAGCTATTTGTTGGGCTTGGATAAAAAGGTTGTGAACATCGTTGTATAACTAAATAGAGGACAAGTTATTAAAATCTCTTTAAAGTGTCAAGGCTGTAGACGTTATAATAATCTTACCAATTTTTGCCAACTTGCTATTGAGTTCAAGGAATCTATATAAATTTTTCCGTCGGCTTGCTTATGCTCTTCGACCTTAATTTAAGGGTTAGAGAAAACTCAAATTTATAGACACTTGGCAAGTATAGAAGTAAAGAATACCTGCTCTTTAGGGTATTTCCTTGCTAAATAGTATGCCACATCGTTTTTTGGCGTAGGATTGAAAGTTACACCCACAGAGTCTTGTTCTATTCTATACATTTGAAACTAGAGAGCCGTACTTTGGAAATGAAACACTTGAAAATGTATAAATGTGGAACATTAAGTTGCAAAAGACGCGTTTTTTTATTCTGACCCGAATTTTTGGATCAAATTTTGAATTTCTTTGAACAAAATCATACATAATAAAAAATGGTGGTATGTTATGCGCGACTTATTTTAATTCAATAGACAAAATGATATAGACATCCTTTTTTTTATCTTGTAGTTTTATGAAATGTTGGTAATAGTTAGGGCTAATCTAATGGAGGTAAAAGAAATTATCGTATCATCAAATTCACTTGGATCAAAATTTGACATTTCGGGTATATCATCAAAAGGCCAACTTAAAAGACCTGGTCCGTACCTCTGCCAAGCTTGTGCTTGAACGTGGTGGTGTAGTACGAAATTTTGAAAACTGGGGAGTGCTTCGACTGCCAACACGAACACGTCGACACCAGGAGTACTTTGATGACGGGCAGTAAGTTATGCACATGCAAAATATGAAACCCAAACATCAAACTTTCATTTTTTTATTAATCAATTCTTTCTTAGTTATTGGTTGATGCATTTTGATTGTAATCCCACTATCGTTCGCGAGCTACAAAAGAGATTAAGTGGAGATCCACGCGTAATTAGAGGTAATTTTGTTAAATTGGGAGAAAAGCTGGAAGATATTATTCATAGACCGGATCAAACATCATGATAAAGTAAATTGATAGACAAATAAATAAATAATGTATTTATATTTTCAGATTTAATTTTTGCGACGTGTTTTTTCTCTATGTATTATCAAAATTTATTAAAAAGTTCCAAGGTTATTGTCATTATACTTGTATTTTCAGTTGTAAGTCATGTATCGGGGAGTAGAAGAGAATTTCGCGTATGACTATTAACAAAATAATTATGGATAAAAAAAATAAAAAAAGTAACAGATGAATTAATGAAAACATAAATATACAATTTATACGAATTGAGAAACAGCTACGTTACCTTAATCACTTTATTGACAGCTTCTAGGAAATCCTTTTCAGTTGCAACCTATATTTTTCAAAATAAACTTACGATTTAGAAGACCAATTCTTTTTAAAAGGAGAATGAAACTTTTACTCGTTTATATTTTACCTTTCGTCTCGACCTAATCGCAAACATGCCAGCTTCTGTACATACACTACGTAATTCGGCACCTTTAAAGTAAAAAAGTAATTAGCACAAGTCAGTTCATGGTTTCTTATTGATAATAATGAATAGAAAATTGTTACCTGTACTATTAGGACATAGTCTTGCAATTAATTCATATCGAATGTCCCTTTCTACCGACATACTATATACATTAATTGAAATTGATTAATACATCAAAAAATTGAGAAAATAAAGAAATGTATTGTATATCATCACGAATTGGCTGTTTACCTCTTTGCATGGATCTTCAATATATGAGTACGCCCCTCTAAATCAGGCAATGAAAATTCGACCTTACGATCCAGACGACCAGGCCGCAATAGTGCAGGATCTAGTGTATCTGGTCTGATAAAACGCATTCAAGCCACACATGGAATGAATAAAAATATCATTTATCTTTATAAAATTTATTTTAGAATATATACCTGTTAGTAGCCATGAGAACTTTTATATTGCCCCGAGGATCAAACCCGTCTAATTGGTTAATTAGTTCCAACATTGTTCTTTGTACTTCGTTATCACCACCCGCACCATCATCATATCGAGCACCTAATATAATATATTTTTAGTCATTTTTATAGCACCGATATAGAGTTCTGAATAGAAATAATGTACCTCCAATGGCATCTATTTCGTCAAGGAAGATAATACAAGCTTTTTTTGTACGAGCCATTTCGAATAGTTCACGAACCATTCGAGCCCCTTCTCCGACATATCTTTAGTGCGTAAAAGCAAATAAAAATTATATAAGGCGCAAGAAATATTACCCGGATGTTAAGAAGATCATATAAAAAAATAATACTAACTTTTGCACTAACTCAGATCCAATTACACGGATAAAAGTGGCATCTGTTCTATTGGCCACTGCACGTGCGCATAATGTTTTGCCAGTGCCAGGTGGTCCATATAGCAAGACACCTTTAGGAGGATCAATTCCCAGATTTACAAATCTTTCAGGCTATACATATATATTGATAAATTTAGAGTCTCTCTAAATTAGATATTTAGTAAATGAGTAAATTATATAAATTACCTGTAGTAATGGCAATTCCACGACTTCTCTTAGCTTTTCAATCTGCTCTTTACAACCACCAATATCACTATATGTTACATCAGGCTTTTCCTCGACTTGCATCATAGTCACCGAAGGATCAATTTTTGGAGGTAATGGAATCTGAATCTGATATTTGTTTCGATCAACTCTAAGACAAAGGAAAAACACGATTAGCCAATGATTAAAAAATCTAAAGAAATAAAAAAGTTATTTACCCAACGCGCATGCCTTCCTCAATATCAGTCGGAGACACTCGTTCGCCAAGAGCTACGACAAATTTCGCAATTTGTTTTACATTAATAATATATTTTGAAGTCTCCTCTCCTTCTGCAGGTGGAATTATTTTTGTACATCGTGCTACCTACTCAAATTAGCGTTTTAACGTTAATTATTATTATTTAAAAATTTCGAAAATACACAGGTTTCTTGATTTGCCGATTTTTGTACCTGCAACGGCTGCTCTTCTTGCATCCGTTGTTTATCAGCGGGAATATCCCATAGATTCGGAGTAGCAAGACCAGTATCTGATTCCTTGACACCTTTTTATTTTTTGCAAGTGAATATTTTTAATTGAATACGCTAAACACGAAAATTTCAAGAGTCGACAAAATTACGCTACGCGTCAAAACGCGTACCAATTTTTTCATTTATTCTCTTTTGTATGTCTTTGATGTCATTATCAGTTTTCTTTAATTCTTTGGCGTAAGGTCCTAGACCCTAATGAAATAATTAGGAATTTGTGAGAGAAAGTTCAGCTTAATGTTGTATCATGAGCTTTAAGGAGACTTACATAGGTTTTGAGGAGTGCAATGTCTCCCTCGTCAAGTGCTTTTTTTTCCACATTATAGTAGGTTGTTTAGTTTTTTTCTTATCTCGATTTTTATTAAAAGTAAAACAATTCATAAGCATACCAACTATCTTTTCTTCTTCCTTGTTGTCATCGACGTCTTTATCGTCTAATTATATCGAATCAAATTAAAAGTTTGTAAATATTATTCAGAAAAAAAGAATTAAAACAATGCTCAAATGTTCATCTTACATTTTTCCCAGTTTTCTTTTGGTGACATGTTTAGTAATTTCTGAAATATAAAGGAAGAAATGTAAAACTAAAAGATGATTATCCTCGAGAACTATAACGATAAAATATTTTCGAGAACCTAATTGCGTCAATTCAGTCACACCAATTACGTATATCCAAACAGTTCTACAGATCATCACTCGTCTTGTTCTTTATCCCGACAAATTTTTAAACTTTATGGCTACTAATATCGCGCCTCGTCTCTTTTTGCGATCTTATTCTCTAGCGGTATGTTTTGGCTCTCCAACAACTTAACTGATAATAATTAATGTATGCGGGTTAATTTTAAGTGAAAGCTATAAAGATAATGTGTGAGCTTTTGGATCGATATTAAAACCGCATCTTTTTTCTAGGGTCCTTTAAGAAAAACATACCCCTTGACCCGCCTTTCTTCAGCGTCAGTTCGAACTTACGTTACGCCGACGGCTCCTGTCTTAAAAGGTACTCTTTGCGGACTTTTTTTTTGATTTATCAATTCATTTATCTAAATTGTCGAATAAATTGTTCGAACATAAGACGCTATCCAGGAATTATATATACAAGGAATAAAAGCATACGTTCCTGAGCCTACGGTATTTTTTTTTAAATCGACATTTTGATCTTACCTTCAATGTATTGATTAAAACCTAATTCATCTTTAATAACAAATAGAAAGTCGATGCTGCAGAAGTAAAACACCTTTCATTACCGACTCCTCCGAAGGTGTAAATACATGAAGCTATTCGTTGCTTAAAAATAAATATTCTGTATATTTAAGATTTTTAATTGAAACCAAATTATAGGCACCGGTTTTTAACGAGGATATCACGCAAGATCTAGCATCTTATGAATTTACCGATAAAGAAAGTGAAAGTAAAGCAACAGCAGCTCAAGAATCAGTTTTTGAATATGAATTATTTGGACCAGGAGGAGTTCCCGTTGATGTTCCTTTGAGAGAAATTAGTGGTCATCATCACTAACAACAGGTGAATCATTGACACGAGATTGTAATAATCAATTTTTTGTTGTCATTCACCTACTAAATAGAAATGATATTTTCTATATTGTTGCATAATCCGAAGTGTATCCTCATAGTCCGTTATCCAAGTCAGTCTATTTTTTTTTGAAATTTTGATATTTGTCAGACTAAAATTCGATGCTTTTAACTTAGTCGGTCCTCTTGAAATTATTTATTTTCTTATTAAGAAACTTTTCAGTCGTCTGCTATAATATTATTTTTTACCATTTAATCAGACACCAACCCTAAACAACTTTTTTCTCTGTTGTGAGTAAGATAATGTTTCTCTTCGCACTAATATATCAATAGCTCTTTGTACAATGATTTCGGTGAAATCGTTCTAAGGAACCCCGTGAAAAATAATTATAAAAAATCCATCAGTCATATCCAGATAATTAGTTGATAATAGTAATGATATTAATATGAAGGCGCACCTCTTTAGTTTTAATAATCTCGTCGATTAATTTTCTTGAGGATATTTGTGATCCCAATGGAAGACGATCTTTAACCAATTTTTCTACCTTTTGTATTTTGGACATTAGTTCCGGATGTGATAGTCCTTCGACTAAAAAACAAAAAGAAATAAAATTTTTTTGTGCCAAATCATTTTTGATATGTTTACAGTAAATGGCTTTTTACCTTCACCAGTTTGTAACGCCCTCATTGTTGATTTTTTGAAAAGTCGAATTGCTTCAATCACGTGATTTTCATTAGCTTCAGTTGTTAAAGTCATTTTGGCTAATGCTTCGGCAATTCGAATAATCGCCTCCAATTGTCTATAAAATGAAATTATCAAAATGATTGAATTAATTAAATCACTGATTCGAGTGTTCATTATTGGTTCTTCACCTGATAGTAATGGGAATCGACGATCGTGTATTGCTTTCCTGTTCCACTTTACTAACTTCACCTCTAATCCCTACATAATGCGCACATAGTTTATTTGCAGCTTCTGCGTTCAAACGAGGAGCACATTTTCTATAAACATACATATAAAAGAATATTCAGAAAGATCGCTCGAGTATAGTTGAACGACAAAAATATAAAATCATGCTCACGCTTTACAATAATTTATATATTTTCTCATCTTTGCTATATCGATATCACCCTCGGCGGATGGTGGATTGGCTCGATTAATATGTACCATCATTACATGCCTTGCGATATCCTATTTGTTTATTTAATATCAAATCGTATTGTAATTGCTACTAAATTGAACGCATAAATATGTGAAGCGTTAAATAACACTTGCCCTGTCTTTCTGATCATTATGCACATCTTTTATCAAGAAGATCATATCAAATCTTGATAATATTGTAGCCTGAAAATCGATATTCTATTGAAGAACAAATAAGATTATGAGAAATATCTTGGACTTTAAAAAAAAAAAACAGAAAACACAAATATTTTACCTCTCCAGGAGTCTTCATATCATCATAACGACCAAATATAGGATTTGCTGCCGCCAGCACCGAAGTCCGTGAATTCAGAATAGTTGTAATACCTGCTTTGGCGATTGAGATTGTCTGTTGCTCCATTGCTTCATGAATTGCTACACGATCCTCATCGCGCATCTTGTCGAATTCATCGATACATACAACTCCGCCATCTGCCAACACCATTGCGCCACCTTCCAAGTAAAATTCACGCTAATAATTTATTATTAGAAAAAATAATTTCAATTAATGCGCTAAATGCATATATATGAAAACTAGTAAAAGATTTAAATTTCTTACTGTTTGAGGATCACGAATAACTGAAGCCGTCAGTCCAGCAGCACTACTACCTTTTCCTGAAGTATATACTGCTACCGGTGCAACCTAAAGATGAAATATCGATGTTTATTGCCAGATTGAAAAATAATTAAATACAATATAAATATAAATATAAATATAAAATCTACCTTTTCTACAAATTTCAAAAGTTGACTTTTGGCAGTTCCAGGATCTCCAAGTAACAATACATTAATATCACCTCTTAATTTCATACCATCAGGAAGTATCTTTTTACTTCCACCGAAAAGTAAGCAAGCAATTGCTTTTTTGATATCTTTACATTAATAATAAAAATTTCTTATTAATACAATAATAGTAAAAATAACTCGCCGAATAATAAAAAGTCACATCATAAGTAAAATAATTTTTTGATCTTATTACCTTGATTACCATAAATAGACGGTGCTATACTATTTGAAAAGAAATTATATAGCTCTGGATGTTTTGACAATGTAATCATTTCTTCCTCTTCTTCCGGAGTCCAACTTCGTTTCCCCCGTTCAGATTGATCCGTATCGTGTTCCAGTCCAACCACATTAATGTAAGCATTACGAATCGCAACACCAGTTCCTTTCTTAATTTTTATTTTAATCAATATATTTACAAAAAATTGAAAATCATCTAATAAGAAAAATAACATTAAATAAGACTTACTCCGGATTTTTTTTGGTATACATCGTAGACTCCCATTACGATAACACGATATCCCGGAGATACCTTGCCAGTTAGATATCTATGAAATAAAGAATTAATAAATCTTCCATATTTAATAAATCTGATAACTATTTATACCTGTCCGCACAAAGTTGCATATGACGGGGTATATCACCAATTGGAACCATATCGGGAGCTTCTTGAATTTTGAGCGTTTGTTGATCTACAAAAGTGGATTTGTCGTGAACTACAATGTATGGATCCATTACACATTGTTTGGGCCCTGTATCGGTAGGTTCACTAGACAATAATAAAGAGAAATACTTTAATGTATATTCACTTCATTGTAACATATCGAAAAGAAAGTAAGTTTGATGTTCAACTAAATCATTCTCACCTATCACAGACTCTTGGAAGTTGAATACCGGAAAATCCACTTTTTACTAGTATTGTTTTGGTATGACGACAAGTTTTACACATTATCTGCACACTAATTGCTTTTGCTGATAATGTCGATGCACCGATAATGATACCCGGTATACGAACTAGCTTTGAAATATGTTTTGCCTTTGATGCAATTTTAGGTATTTATATTATTATCGATATACCTTTCTAATTAATGATTACGACGAAAGTGAGAGTATACTTACATCCAAATCACGAATTTTGATCATTTCAGTAGACGCTTTCAAAATGATTTGTACATCGGGTATATTGGTTGAATTTGTTAATGTCTGGAGATGATTCTTTGCAGCCAATTCGAACTTTTAGCCGAAAAATATACATCATAAGAATAATTGTTCGAATGTAATTGACGAAAAAAATATTATTAGTACAACATAGACAACAAAGATAATTTACCAAAGGCAAAATTTCTGTCGGTGAATTTTGCAGTTTTACAGCAAGAGATTCATTATGGGCCCGAAAATGATCCATCGAGACTTCGAGTAGATATCTTTTCGTCGAATAATTTTCGAATAGCTGCTTGCTGTGCAAATTTAATTATGATATTCATCAAGTTTAATAAATTGACGCGTTTAGAACTGGAAAGTCATATATTTATGATCAAACTTTCATGAGACCTGTATATATGTTCATTTCCGGTATAAAAATCTCTAATGAACGCGAGAAGTTGTTTCTCGATTTCGACACGCGAGTTTTCAGAAGTTTGTCCTTCGGTAACGTTGGTCGTGTAAATGTTTCCCGAATCCCAACCTATGGCAGCCATCACAAAGGTATTATGCGAAAATTTAGAGGAAAAGTATAAAATAAAAACTTTATCTACAAGAGAAATTCAAAGAACTTCAAGACGCGTCTTATTAAGTGTAGTCGATCGCGGCAAAATTTGGTGATTCCAATCTGACCAATCAATTTTTCAATACTATTTCTAACCAATGGTCACAGATCAATTTCCAAGAAGACATTGAGATTCTTTATAAACCAATTAAATATGAAAAACTTGAATCAGCATCTGACAAAAAAATCATCACCTAATAATAATTCACTCAAAAATCTAGAATCAACAAATAAAAAGAAGTTTGTACTTGTATAATTTGATACTTAATCATTTCATTCTTTATAATTTAATTGTTAATAAATCAGAGTCCTAATCTTCATTATATATCAATTTGAATTTCACTCAACTTAATATAATTGTGATATATATATTATAATAATTAACTTCAAAACCATCACAATTTGGAAAATGGATACTTTATCAGAAAAATACTGCAATGCTCTATAATAGTTGAAAAAGAAAAAATATATTTCAATTTTGCATTTGCATTTGCATTTGCATTCACAATTATGTCTACGTAAATCAAGATTTGAATATAACTATCAATAAATTATTGATTTTTGTGCCAATGGTTCTGGATCGAATTATATAGTGGCTCACATATGTAATGAAACATGAAAATTAACTTTTATTTCCATGACTATTAGTTCGCACAAAATAAAAAAGTGTTGATTTGAAATCACTAATATTTTTTTTAAAAATAGATTATTTTGTGAAATAAGGTGATTTAATCAAAATTTACAATTAGTAAATTTCTCACATTGAAGAACTTTTTTTCTATGGCAGATTCAAATTTGGATTACTAATTAAAAATGTTCTCTATGAAATCTACCTATTTGCCAATTTTCATGAAAATTGACACAAATTTCACCGAGATTTGAGATCCCGAAGGACCGAATCGATGCTGGGAGCATTAATTCATATATTAATGCTCATAGCATATATTCGATATTTAGGATCTTAAATATCTATAAAAATTAAGCCGATTTTATGAAAATTGGCAAATAGATAGATTTCATAGAACATTTTTAATTAGTGGTCCAAATTTGAATCTGTCATAGAAAAAAAGTTCTTCAATGTGAGAAATTTACTAATTGTAAATTTTTATTTAAATCACTCTATTTCACAAAATAATTTGTTGTCAAATTATTTTTAAAAAATATTAGAGGTTTCAGAATTTCAAATGAACACTATTTTTATTTTGTCCAAACTAATAGTCATGAAAATAAAAATGCT